TTTGCTGCACAAGCATACCTGCACAGAGGGAACGATCCATGCAACTGTCACTCCTTATCCTCTTCCATATGAACTCTGGCAGCTTGCTCTCACCCTGAAACAGTCATACTCAACTGATTAGCAGTTCGTGCATGCAGATTTATTTTTAGGCAAACTATCAAACTCAAGAATTTAAATCGTGGTTTGGAAACTAACGTGCAATCTTGCCTCAAAATAATGCTTTATGTTACACTGAATGCTTTAAGTTGCAGTGGAGCTTTTGCTGTACGATAGGAGTCGGAGGAACTCACCACAGCCATCTGGCTGAAGGAGCGCTTCATACTGTTGGCCATGGCCACTCTGGCTGGACTCATGTCTCTGTAAGCTTGTACAAAGTTGTCGATGGACCTGCATACACAAAGTGGATAAAAAAAATTAATTAATAATAAATAATTGCGGCATTAATAAAGAGAATTTGGTGGTAAACGCCCTTTTTTATTTAAATCTATCATTTAAATCATGTTGTTAAGGTTTTTATTCCTTATTCCTTTTAGTCTTATATTTTCACAGTTATATGCATCAAGTCAAATTTTCCTTGAGCACTAAAATAAGAGACTCATAGTTAAGTCACCTCTGTTTCTGCATGCCATGTGGCATGTTCTGCTTGCAGGATGGCCGTTCTTCCAACATCGTGTCCATCAGACAGGCTTTGGTGGGTCGTGGTTGTTGTTGGTAAGTCAACAGCGGGTCTGGTGGCCACTGCAGATTCTGACTGCCCCCCATGGAGGACAGCGGGGAGCTGGCTGGGGCCTGGTATGGGAGATTGTGCAGATGCCCCATCATGTATGACCTTCCATGGGGATCTGCATTCCCCTGGCTGGAGACTCTCTTCTCCCCTCCAGCCCAGGATGAAGATGCCGCACGCTGGTAGTGGCCTGGGGATTGGGAGGAGGTGGACAGGGGCTGGAAGAGGCTGGCCACATTGTTGAAACTCTGTTGGGTGGTCTGGTTAGTTTGAGGCAGGCTGGTGTTGCTCCCCATGGATCCTGCTGGAGCTGCCTCCAGGGGCTTGGACTCTGTGACAATGGGATTGAGCTGGAAGTCCTCTCCATCCATAGGGATATAAGGAGCCAGAGTCTCCAGGTCCAAATCACTCAAGTCCCTCTGGATAGCAGAAATAATTTTTGTTTTGTTTTTTTAATACAAATATTTAAGAAAAGAGATCCTTTTAAGCATTTGGGAAAAATATAAATTATTGCTTTAGACATTTGAGTATTTGCGGCTGAGATAATGCTGCAGTGTTCTTAAACTGCCACTCAGTTTAGACTAACAGGATTACGATGATTACATTAGCAACTCAATAATAAAAACATCATTGTGAGCACTAATATTTTATCAGCAGCCACTCAAATATGTAAACCACTGATTTATAGTTTTGTTTAATCCGGTACTCATTAAATTGAAGAACTACTAACATAAAATGGAAAATGTCCTGGATGTTTTTCTCACAGACTTATAAGCTAAAGGTCAAAGACACCATAGCAGTAAATTAAAAAGCTAATGATACAGAATACATATGTTGAGCTGGTTAATTAACTAACTCTACACAACTTTGGTCACTCACACATATGCACACACACACACAC